CAAAGCAAGATTGGCAGAATTTGGTGGCAAGTTGCAGGAGACAATGTGAAGCTGTTGTTCAAAACCAGGGAAAGCACACCCGATATTTATTGCATAATAGACGATTAATCATCTATTATCTACAGTCTTCTTTTATTAAAACTAATTCTTAAATGATCGAACTTTATTTTTTCATAATAAGCTGTTTTAATCAGCACATACTTTTTGCTGTGTGAGCATACTTTTTTGACACATGGTTTGGCATATTTTAGTACCGTTTGGTTAATAAAGTTATTTTGATTATTACAATAAGCTGTGCGGTGTATTTCTTTAACCGAAATATTCAACTTGAATAAGTTATTTATAAAATATGAAAGAAATATGCATAATCCCACCAACAAATGAAATAATGATCATGATAGAAGAAACTTCTGAAAAAATCGGGGTGTTGCTTAACTTATGAGCATCAGTGTATGTTTCAGCTATTCAAAATTCTAATTTCAAATTAGCTTCAAATTAAATGATTTCGATCAGCATTTGTACATCTGATTTAAGTAGGAAGCGCATTACGACTGTAACTTTTTTTGTCTAAAAGACGAAATATCTTTCTTTAAAAGAAATAAAAGAAGCCATTCTTTCGTTATGCTGCAGCGTTTTTATTTCTAATAAACAGCTGAAGTGAAATTTAATATGGCAGTTATTTATATACGTATAAAAATGCACACAAAAAATAGTCAAATCATTTTATGTTACTTACATATATCTTGGATATAATATAATATTCGTAATTTTGTCCATGCATATATAAAACAGTATATAGCAATTTCTCAGTTCCTAAACTTTTTATGCATTGAAAAGATATCTAATATTACTTTTAATATTACTAATAACATTATAATATTAAAATAATATCATATAATATAATATTATAATAACATTACTAATATTAGATGTAAATTTGAAGTAAAAAACCACAACTGCATTTAAAATAATAAAAGCAAACAGGGCAATGCCACCCTACCTTCAGTTTCTTCCTGCTTATGTTAATATTATATGTGCATACTTTTCCCTTTCAATTATTACGTTTATCTGAATTACAAGACATATTGAAATAGATACTATTTCAAAAATAACATACAATCAAAGATATAAGACTGAGCTAATCAACATATGAAATCCTTTCACATATTTTTATCTCAATACAACTTATTTTGTTATAGAAACAAACTGTTTTCAAAGGCAGTTAGCTTTATTTGTAAAAAATGCCCTTATCAACTAATCAGTTTTTGCTAATTCAGACAAATAAAAAACTCTTGAATTTTCTATTCTTATCTATAATATACCTTTAAGTCATCAATTAACCTTGAAATGATGAAAATGCGAGTAATCAGCAATTTGAAAAACAAGAGAATATATTCATAGAATACACAGTAAAAAGCTACCAAATACATTGAGAACTTAAAGGTAATTAGTTCATAAGTATCACAGCCATTTATGAGATCAATTAAATCAAATCTCAAAATTTTGCAACACGATAGTCTTATACATGTACATATATCAATCAAAATGACTTAATACAATCACATTTGTGATTCAAAATGATTCATCAGACCATATAAATATGAAGGGTCTCTTGAATAAGCAACAGCAATACCTTCAACAGAAGTAACTGAAATAAAACAGAAAAAAAAAATCTGATATCATTGTTTATCATATTGTAACGTATCCAGGGACATGGCATAGATATTATCTTGTTTCATTACATAAAATAATAATAATAATAATAATTCTGATTTACAGGGTCTTAAATTGGAACAATAATTTGTGTGATCATGTAAATTAAAACAGTGGAGAATATGGCACTTTTTAGGTCAGCACAGAAAACGCTACCTTATTGGTCTTCTGCAGCTCTCAGTGAGCTCAAACTGAGAACTGAGCTTGTCTTGTTGGCAGAGACATCTAGTGCCCAGTCAAGATGGGCATCCTTGGCCGTTTTGATGATGCTCTTATAGACAGCATCTCGATGTAATATTCCTCCAAAAATATACGGCTGAAAATAATTTTTACGAATATATATATATTATGTTGTTGTTGCTTATTTTTCAGTAATTCTTTAGAAGTACACGTAGGTACTAATTGCATATTTTAATAATATATTGAGTATACAATAATAATAATAAAACAGTGGGTTTGCCATGGCATCATGTTAAAGTCCGGTAATAGATAATAATAATAATAATAATAATAATAATATAGATGTACAAAATTACCTTGTCCTTGTCTTTGACAGTTATCTCTAGAGACATCCCACTTCCTGGCATCCAGGAAAATGGTTTGGCCTGGAGATTAATTAATTTAAATTAAATAAATATTTTAATCCTAGTACATAATTATTGCATAAGTAATACTAGTAAATGATTCAATAAATACGAACCAAATAGACAATAAAGACAAGTATCTTTTATTTTGCTGTTCCACAATTAGTTAAATTTTAAATTATTTAAATAACACTAATTTAGTAAAAAAAAAAAAAAATAATAATAATAATGATCACATAAATATGAATTATACTGAATAATAATAATACCATTCCACTTGCTGTTCCACAATTAGCTTCCTACTGTATCGGCACCAATGTATTTGCATTGAGGGTTGGGCAATTCACTTTTATCAAGAAATTTCCCATATGTGACCCAAATATGAACACACTCTTCAAATAAGAAAGAAATGCTTACCTTGATAAGTCTGGTGATTTCTGAGAGAGGGATATTTATATGTTCCTCCGGATTCCTGGAGTTTTCAAAACAAAGGAAACTGGAAAATATATATATCGCTCAGTGATTATCTCTTGGAAAAACATATTTCATAGTCAAAATCTTCAAGGTCTCTGTCTGAAATTGAGTTTCAATTTAATTTTTTCAGTTGCTTTTAAATTGTTAGACAGAAAGACTTTAAATTGGTTAGAGACACTAAGTAAAGAGGCAGTTAAATCTCCCCCCCCCTGCCCCTAATATTGTATTAAGTATCAATCCCAGGTTATATAAAATGGACACCTTTTAGTCAGGTACATCTTGCCATGAGCCAGTGAAGACGTTATAGACTTTTCTTTATCTATAAGCACACACTTTCGCCCACTCTTCCAGTCTGAAATAATGTTTAATGAAAAATTTATGGAAAAATAACTGCTATTAAGTGTTGTCATTTACAGCAAAATTATTTAATTTTCTAGAATAACTGTTTTGTTTTTTCATTTCACAAGAATCCCCAACCACCAAAGTGACAGTAGAAATCTTTTTCCCCAAATACTTTTTTAACCCTTGTGTCCGTTTTCTGAAATCATTATATGTTAATTGTTCAGTACATCCTTGTTCTTGTTAAAACTGAAGTCCAACAGATGTATTTTTCTGCGACCTTTAACATATGCTGGAGACACCTAATAATAATAATAATAATAATAATAATAATAATATCAGAAGAAAAACAAATCAGACATGGGCTGGATTTATTTCTCTTTGTTAAACACATTTTGTATTATATGGTCTTCACAGAAAACTCATTCCATATTCCACAATGCCATTCCATGTTTTTTTATGTGTTGATGGTGAGAACATTTACCTGTCAGAGGAACCTCAGATACAGGGAGTGAAAACAGCTCTTGGAATGCCCTTTCTGCACCTGTGGCAGGGAGGTCAAAGTCCACAGCTGGCTTAGGCTGACTTCCACTGGTCACTGAGATTGATGATGAGCTGGGAGACGGCTCCAACACAAACTAAAATATTATGATTTATTGTGACATAAGTGATAAAAATATATATGTAAAAGGAAATGTTTATTAAAATTATGTAACCAGCAAAAAGCTGGAATCCAAAAATAAATGTAGTGGATTTCTTGGCTGACTGAAAAAAAATCCGAAAAGAAAATTAATACAGGTGTTTATTTATTTTATCTTTTTTTTCTTTTATTACTAAAAAGTGAATATTGATGTTTTATTACTACTGAATTTGAAATAAGTTACAGAATAAGGGAGATAACTGAAGACAGAGAAAAATATACTGTACAAAATACAGTATACATATTTTCTTAATGAAGTGTCAGAATCATTTTCAGTACAGAAATATCAATATGAGACACGGATAGAATGTCTCCATGGATCTTCAACCTGTTCTGGTCCAGCTGTCCTCTTTCTGATTTGTATGTTACATTAATTCAGCAGTGATCAATAATTCTGACTGCAGTAAGTAAGTCATGAACCCAGAACAATGTCATCCAATGTACAAACTGATAACAGTTGGATAACATCAGTGTCATCCAAGTCTTGTGACATATTTAATCTACCTCCTCCCTGTGTACACACACCAGCAGAGTGAACTGGGAGAGATAGGAAGACTAAACTAGGCTAAAGATCTTTCTCGTCACTTCGATACTTACACGAGACTATGCTTATATTTATGTTATAATTTTGTACAACCAAAAGCAAACTTTTTTGAAAATAGAGTCTCAGAAGTACATTATGTTTTATCCTAGACTCCTGTGAAGACAATGTACTTTTAATTATTTTCTCTAATCACGTACCACTAGAAAATGTTCAACATCACATGATGTTTATTTTTTAATTATCAAGATCACATGTTTATTTTGAAGAGGCCATCTTTTTGTGTTCTTGTTAATGGCCAGAAGTTTGAGATGGCTTTAAAATCCATTTTACCATCTGAGGTTGTTCACAGTTTAGACTGAACCAGTATTTGTATTTCTAAGTAAGTACATCTTGATGTTTTATGTTCCAAATTATTAAAAAGATATTTAATTGATAAATCGGGATTTTTCTTCACGGCTAACGGTGGGTCTTTCTATTTAGTTGATCAAATTCTGTTCCACAAAGAATAACAAGTGTTTATTACTTTTAAAATGGGCACGGGGTAGAATTCCAGAAGACTCTCTATATCCAATTGTTTTTTTAATTAATAAAACTCAGCAGTAAGTTAAGAGACTTGGTTTGCCTCAAAATGTTCATCATATCACATCATATGCTTAGTATTTTCATCTACTACAATTACAGTACAGGACCAACTGAACCAGAAGTTTATAAAGGCACCTCCTCAGTAAGCACCACAAGCAGGTTTTGTGATCGGAGCCATATTACAGCAGTGTGACTGTGACTTGTAAACAGCTGAGGTAAAAATTGTTGGGAAAAAATCATTATTATAGATTTTCTAGCCACGTTTTCGTTTAACTGACTAATCAATATCCATACGCCAATTCAAACTTATGTTAAATTATCAGCTAAGATTGCTATCATTTTCTTCTTAGACAAAAGCTTACCACTTGCTTTTTTTTCTGATCAGTTTTTACTAATTTATTGAGCCAGAATACATGACTTTCAACAGTGCATTTTTTTTCTTTTTTCAGAGAGCATAGTTTTCAGAAGTATATTTATTGCCTGTACTCCTGTCCAGAAGCACACTTTAGTATCAAAAAATTAAAAGCCAGAAGTTATATAAATGATACACATTTCATTTTACATACCATGCAAAACTATTAACTTCAAACCAGAAGGTAAATAACCTTGTAATGCCCAAATTTCTTTTTATTGTGTATGTTTTAAGATTATTTATTATAAATACCACGAATAAACTTGAATCGTCTCTTTTAACTCAAAAATACTGTAATAAACTTGTATAGATCTACATTAAAGGGATAAGAACTCTTGTATGATATCTATATTTCACAATAAAAACATTGTGAATAACTCATAGAAATATAATATATTCTGTTTTACCACAAAAACGGCAGTTATAGCTATTATTCAGATATCTGCGCTTGTCTTTAGACCACGTGACCTCCATTGATGGCTATACTCTGTTAAAATCTCTTAAGAGATTTTAACAAAAAAAAACAATCTTTTTAGAAAAAAAACCAGCGACTAACTTTGAATGTAAAAATGGATTCATTAACCATTGGTTAGTATGGGAAAATTGTTGTTTACTCCAGGAAAATTCATTTTTTGGCCAAAACGAAGAGTTATTACCCATTTAATTATTCATTGGTTACTAAGTATTTATACCACAATACAACATATCAAATATTAGAATATTTTCCAAAAGATAAAAAAACTCAATACATGTACCTGCTTTTTCAGTTGATTGTAATGTTACCTACCAGTAATGGGACTGAATGCATTTTTTTATCTTCATTTTTTTTTCAGAACACCTGTACACTTGTCCAAGTCCACGTTACATCCCCGTAAGGTAATAAAATCACTGCCTTGTGCACAAATATTTAATTTTTACATAAAGAAAAAATGATTGAAATGTACCTTAGAATACAAATGTAAATATTAACATCTTATGCCAAATTAAGAGCACTGCAGTCACAAATTTTTTTCTCTATTTTTAAAATATTTACAAGATATTTCCAGTTTGTCACTGTCTACAGCACTTGTCATACTATAGAACAGCATATTTGTGGAGGTCTGTCCACAGGAAATAATTAATGTAATTTTTGGCAACATGCCAAACTACTGTGTACAGTTTTTTCTAAACAAAACAAGGATCTGGGATGCTTATTTCTACCAATTTATTATTTCAGATAACAAGAACATTCAAGGAGGAAATAATTTGGTTTTAGGATTAATTTAATTTTTTTTCCTATTATGTTACCATCCTTTACTGCAAAATGTTATCTCAGAGGGGAATAGTGCTAAAATTGGTGACAAACACATAATTGCCCACCAAATTACCAAATATTTAATTCTACCTACATGTATGAATATAAACATATAGAGCAGTGAGACTTCTTCCTACTGTTCCATTTCTGAGACATGGCTTACAGAGAAGAAGCACACAAAGAGAGACTTGATCTCTTACATATGCTACAGTTGTCTCCACAGTCCAGGACACCAGACACTGTTCTGGAGTGGACTGAGCTTCATATAGACTCTGATGGTATAGACAACCTACCAGAGTCCATTGACAGGTGTAGAAATGTTAAGAAAATATATGCAGCATTCAGCAGGTTATCTTCTTTGCCACAGTCCATATCCAACCTGCCACACCTCACAGTGTTGGACCTATCCCAAAATACCTTCACTACATTCCCCATAGCACTATGTGGCTTGACTAACCTACAGGAGCTGAACCTGGACGACAACAAGCTATCTGCCATACCAGTGGATATCATCAGGATGAAGGGGCTTACAATATTCTGGCTCAATAACAATGCCTTCACTACATTCCCCATAGCACTGTGTGGCTTGACTAACCTTGAGGTGCTATACCTGTCATACAACCAGCTATCTGACATACCAGTGGATATCACCAGGATGAAGGGGCTTAGACAATTTCACCTTAGTAACAATGCCTTCACTACATTCCCCATAGCACTGTGTGACTTGACTAACCTAGAGGAGCTGTACCTGGATAACAACAAGCTGTCTGACGTACCAGTGGATATCACTAGGGTGAAGGGTCTTAGGATATTTTGGCTTTATAACAATGCCTTCACTACATTCCCTATAGCACTCTGTGACCTGACTAACCTAGAGGTGCTGTACCTGGATAAAAACAAGCTTTCTGACATATCAGTGGATATCAGCAGGATGAAGGGGCTTAGAATATTCTTCCTCAGTAACAATGCCTTCACTACATTCCCCATAGCACTGTGTTGTTTGACTAACCTAAAGGAGCTGTACCTGGATAACAACCAGCTATCTGACATACCAGTGGATATCACAAAGCTGACTAAACTTGAGAAAATTAAATTGTCAGGCAATAAGATCACCCACCTACCACCTCAGATGAGGAATATGGAAAATCTAACAGAACTAGATGTGAAAAGTAATCCTCTGGTACAACCACCTAAACATACTGCCAACAGGGGACTAGATGCCATCAAAAGGTATTTTGAGGCATTAACTGACACCAAGGCAATCCAGTCAAGTAGAATACAGATCAACTTTCTTGGTGAAACAGAAGCAGGAAAAACTAGCATTTCACGTACACTGCAACTTGGAGAGCCTACCCTCACAAAGAAGGCCGACAGGACAAGAGTGGTGGAGCAGGGAACATGTGAGGCTGATCAAGATATTGTCTTTAATATCAATGACTTTGGTGGACATGACGTCTACAAAATAGGACATCCAATTTTCATCTCAAAACGTGGCTTGGTTTTCATCACTTTCAATCTGTCTCAATATGACCCAGAAAACGAGGCTCATTATCAGCTCTACATTGGAAACTGGATTGACAAGGTGCAAGCACAGATGCCAGGGATACAAATAGCACTAATTGGTACTCATCTTGATAAAGTGGACAATAACTTGGCACATGTTAAATGTTCAGTGTTAAAGAAACAACTAGCAGTCCACAAGAGAAAAAAACAAGAATGGTTTGAAACTCAAATAAAGAAGACCGAGGTAAAAATGTCAGAAATAGAACAAACCTCCATGCACAAGGCCTATAGGGACAAAGTTGACAAGCTGCAGACATTAAAAGACCAAGTGATTGATATTCATGAGCATATCTTCCTGGTTAGTTCCAAGACCACACAAGGATTTAATGAGCTTACGATGTATCTAACGTCTTTTGCAAGAGAACACGCAGTCATTCTACCAGAGAAATGGGTTGAAGCAGCCACTGCCATCTATGAAAAAAGGAAAGATAGTTCTGAAAATACACTCAACTTGGATACTCTTAAACAGGCTCCAAGCATACAGTTCAAGCCCATATCTTGGAGGACATTATTTATGAAGAGGCAGTACTCAGACCAGGAAATTGACCAAACAATCTATAACATTCTTTCCTTCTTGGCCCACCGTGGAGACATCATCTGGTTTGAGACAAGTCCCTTGCTAAAACAGACAATATTTCATAACCAAGAGATCCTTGCCAATCTTCTCAAGGCAATCCTAGATCATGACAAAGATGCTACCATCAAGACCCTACAATATTCAGCAACAATAACAGCACCCAAAAAACATGAAATAATTGAAGATCTTAGAGTTAGGGGAATAGTTTCAAGAGAAGCAATGTTGTGTTTATGGCAGCCTTTCAATCTCAGTGCTGAAGAAGTAGATGCCATGACAGAACTCATGCAGAAACTGGAGCTATGCTATCAAGTCCAGGAAGATGAATCCCTTTCATCCAATACCTCATTCCACTTTCCATGGCTCCTCACTGAAGAAAGACAACCTGAGCTAGACACCAAATGGCCCAGCAAGGTTCCCCCATACACCACACAACTTACCCTGCAGGTTCTCTTTCCATACAAATGTCCAGATGGCTTATATGAGAAATTTTCTGTCCGTCATCACAGATATCTTGGATTCTATAGGACAAAGCGTGTTGATTGGAAGCATGGGGTGTATGCAGAACTATATGGTTGTAAAATGCAGCTATCTCAACAGCAGAGTCAGCCACTTCTTAATACAGACAGCAATGCCACTGACTGGGGCATCACCATATCTGTGCGTGGACAAAACCTCCCAGACTTATGGAGACCACTCATACGTGCCCATGGTGACCTCATGGACATCATTAAAGAGGACTGGCCTGGGCTGTCATATGACAAGTACCTGGTGTGCCCCCACTGTGTGAGTAAGGGACTGGATGACCCAACACTCTTTTTTGGGGAGGTGATAGACCAGCCTTCAACCACTGCCAGGAGACCAGCAAAAGTGCCATGTGAAAAATCTGGTGAAGAAATCGATGCAGATTTGGTTTTCCCCCCATCATGGAAAACAGGTAAATATTTGTGTATAAAATATGTGGTTTGTCTTTCATTGTTAACATTATGGCCCCCCCCCCCCCCCAATTAAATTAAGTATACTGTAAGTTCATGAGAAATTGTTTAGTACAAAAAAAAATAATAAAAAACGACATGGGTTGATTGTAAACAAAGAGATGGGCAAACAAGGAGAGATTTGTTTAAAAAAATGGAAAATGTTCACTATTTGGTCATAATTTGCTTACAAATCTAAAAGATTTCTGATATCTGATTCAGTCATTAATTCAATATTTCAGTTCTGCAGCAGAACCAGGACATTCTGGCAGAAAACATCACAGAACCTTGTCTCAAACACATGTTGAATGTTTTCCTCCAAGAAGACATTATCACTGACCATGAATATGAATGGGTGAAGCCAGTGCTCCATCAACACCAAACCTCAACTACCAGGGTGGTATGTCCAGAGAAAACTGCCATCTTTCTGGACATTCTAACCAGGAAACCTGTCACGGCACATGTTACACTGTGTCAGTGTCTTCAGGAACAAGGACAGACTGATCTTCTTGAACTGATCCAGTAAGGGAGCTATATGCTTTCCTAGACTAACAAAACATTCCTCAAAATTCACAGAATTAAAAGGACAAGGCATTTACTTTATCAATTGAATACCTTAGGGAAAATGAGCAAAATGAGCTAGCTGATGTCCTCCTTTAATAGACCAAATGACTGTATGGAGTCCCTACCTGCGGCAGTCGTGTCATGTAGTTGGTTCGAATTTTAATGTATTTTCAGAAAATCTTTGACACTGTCAAACACTCATTCAATGCTAACTGAATACATCTCAGTCTAAGTGGGAAATATTATTGACATGAGGAACAATTAAGAAATCTTGGTTAAATGGCCTACAACAGCTGCAATAATTTGAGTAAAAGTACAGCCAAATCTGTACATAAAAATGATTGTATATATTGGCACAACCAAAGGACTGCGAAAAAGATTTATTACAAGAACTTCCAATGAATGCACAAATTTTATATGAAAATACAATTTCCTTTATGAAAGTCACACCATGAAGAAGTGCAAGAAGTGTACATTTGCATGTTAAAGATGTACATATTTTCAGAGGACTTAAGAGGCCATGTCAGCAAGCATTGAGCTTCGGATGGAATGTGAAAAATTTATATTTTGCTTAGTTTGGTCTTAAATGATGTATTTAGTCATAAAACACACAAAAATGACCACTAGCCATGTTTCAACCATTTCCTCTGGTTTCCATAGCAACAAACTGCTTTTCCCTAGAAACCGGTCTTTGGTAGAGGAAAATATCAGCTCAAATAGGCCTAATAACCATGATAATAAATAAAAAATGAATATATAATACTGACTTTTATATGGCATTGTCAAAGAAGGACATATTGCTCTATCCAAATATACAAATACATTTGTTCTACATTTTTATATAGCGTTGCTATGGCAACTGAAATTTTGCATCCTATCTGTATTTTCAAAATTACCTAAAAGTGAGATTTTTTAAATGCATTTATTTCAAAATCGCAGCAGTGATATACTCCTCGATTGTTTTGTTCATAATGAGCAAGGTATGAAGTCATATATAAAAAAATAAAATCACGTAGCAATTGATAAACAAAAAAACTATACTCTGCCAAATATTCTCAAAATTTCAAATTTCATAAAATTCAATTGTGGGGCAAATATGTATTAAATATGATGTAAATCAACCATTTAGTGTATTAGAATGGTACAGCTCTGCGAGAAAGTAGATATGCCTTATCTTTGCAACAACGAATATATATAGTAATAAAGTTCAATGAAATTTGACCTTAATGACCTCAAAATCCAAGATGGCCGCCATTCAAATTGGTGAAAAAGGTTCTTTTTCATGATATTTTAGAGCATTATTTTTCAAAATAGCAGCATTAATATGTCTGATGAATATCTATTTCATGATGGGCAAAGTATAGATGAACAATTGTAGAAATAAAATTACGTAGCAATTCATAAACAAAAAATTTGTACTCATTCAAATATTATCAAAATTTCAAATTTTGTAAAACTCAATTATATGGCAAACATGTACAAAACTTTCTCTAAATCAATTTTATGGTGTACTAGAATTGTACAGCATTGCTTGCTAGTAGATATTCTTTGATTTTCACCCTAATATAAATTTCCATGAAATTAGACCTAAATGACCTCAAAATACAAGATGGCCGCCATTCAAATTGGGGAAAAGGCTTATTTTTAATGATTATTTAGAGCATTATTTTTCAGAATAGCAACACTTAAAAAAGAGCAACATTGATGTCTGATGATTAACTATTTCATGATGGGCAAAGTATAAATGAACAATTGTAAAATAAAATTACACAGCAATTCATAACAAATTTTATACTCACCCAAAAATTCATGTAGCTCATTTATGTTTTAAATTTGATGTAAATCAACCATTTGGTGTACTAGAATTGTATGTTTTCATCTTGTGTATATATAGGTATTGATAAAGGAAAGAAGGAGGCTAAGAAAATTATATTTTTATTTATACATTGGCACATCCATTTAGCTGTTACATTAGACAATAACATAGTGTTGGTATTTTACTGAATAATCATTATGTTTAGGAACATTAGCTGCATCCATGATTAGCAAAACGTATATATTCACCACCCTGACCAAGTGGCACACTTAGTATTATTTATCCAACATGAATTCTGATATGTCCATTCTGTACAGCCTTTATTGAGCCATTCTATAAGAAAATACTACAAACGTGTCCTATACAGAATGGCGTGAGCACAAGGGCTGATTACTTTGCAACCTAAATTCATTATAGTGATACACTTGTAGGGATGGGAAATGCCTTTCAACACAATGTCTGTTGGGCTTAAAACAAAAATAAAAGTGTGTGACTTAAAGCATTGTGAACTCTTAATTAAGAGGTCAGTATTTGTAAATAAATTACCAAATCTACTCATATAAACAAGGTAAAACTACTGTCTGGCAAGTTTAAAAAGATCATCAAACTGTGCCTCAAAATTTGCTGCTTCAAAGTCCTCTTCATCCACTGTTTCCAATCCTCTTTTCCGTTTGAGTAAGCTCAACCTGCTGAAAAAACTCCCAATTTGTGCTGCAGACAAGAAATTCTCTATAGAGAATAGCCTATTTCCATTCTTGTATTTGGCAGATCTCATTTCAATAGCCACATCCTCTGGATTGGATTTGATCCCGCTCCTCTCTCCATCATTAAATTTCTGGGTGAGATACTCCTTTTGCTGTTCTGTGAACCGCTTGACTTCTCGTCTGGACTTCAGTGCCCAACCTGTGTCCAGAGTGTTTGCATTTAAGGAGGTGTGGCCTGTATTTACATGTGGCAATTGAACACATTTTTGTTCAATCTCAGTTGCATAAGAAATTTTAACACGATCTGATAAGCATACTTTTGCTTTAGTACTGTGGATTCCTGTGTCAAGGTGGCGTAACAGATTTTTATGTTTTGTGAAGGTAGTAATGCAGTTTGGCTCTGGGCATGTAAACAAACCACCTGTGCAATCTTCTTGGCTTTCTTCTTGTTGGTTCTGCTCTTTGTGAGGACTCTGTGTGGCATAGGATACCGTAGCTGACTCTGCTTTTCTGTCATGTACTTGATTTGCTCTGCGTTCTCTAGAAAAACTGTCAACAACAACAATCTCTTTCAATTCTGTAGAATTTACATGTATGCATTTATCTACAAGAATGTATTGCCCCTCACCAATATTGTGCTGCTTCCATATTTTGATGCCATTGGAGGAAAACTGAAAGTTATAGTAATTGGATATATTTTTCAAATGGCACTGTTTCAAAATGCTGACGTTTGATGGACTTGAAGGCGGAGGTGTTGCACTAATGAGAGAGATGTTTGACGAGTTGCTGTTCTTGACTGCTTCTAGAAATTGTGACGCTGTCCGCACATCATTTCCTTCATTCACATACTTTCTAACAGTAGACTTGATATGTGCAGCTCGCCTGTCACATATAGATTTTCCACCTTGGGGGTCTGAGAAGTCTGCCCGTGAAATGGTAATGGGGCTGACACAATTGATGATATGTATACCAAATATGGCTTGGTAGCTGTGAAAGCAGCCCGCGTTATCTGATCTGATGAATGCTTTCTGTAAACTTGGTTTCAAATTATGAAGCCTTGTGAGGGTGTCATACAGGACAGCATTAGAGGTATGAGAATCTTGTGTGGCATTATCAAATAAATGCACAAAAGTATGTGAACAAATTTCCTCATTTTCCTTGAAACTGGCAACACTGATGTGCCAATTTATGCCTCTCTTGGCAAACCACTTGGATTGGGACTCCCTGAAAAGATAAATATCCAACCTTCCAAGTACACATATAAAAAACAACCATAACTTTATTATTATTTCAAACTTTAAACTAACAATTTTAAATAACAATTTTGTGTGGTGTTTATTCAAAGGTGGAATTTACTTATATGTTTGCCTTCAGGTGCTTCGATCATTTATTCGAGGGCAGAATTTATTAGAACAAAAAACAAAAAAAAATGAAAATGTAATTTTGTAGTTACCTATAAACCATAGGTAAGAATTTCATCGCCCAATCCCGCTCAATAAATACTTCATTATCTGACAAACTAGTCAATGTCTCAGTCTTTCCAGCATCTTGATTAACTGAGCGCAAGACATGCTTCTTCCAATCTTCAATTGCTTTCTGGCCCTATCAATAAAATAAAAAATGAGTAAAAATGTAATGCATGCAAAACTACATGTAAACTTAATAAACCTCCGACAAAAACAATTATGAGAGTTTAAGGGGTACACACTGCAAAAATTGGGTAACCTTGGTAACAGCTCCTAAGACAATTAAATCCCTATCTGTGGTGATGTTGGGTAGGGAATTAGATGACGACATGAGCAGTTGAGTTCTATAACTAATAAGGCTTCAGAGTAGCAATGATTAGAAAATGGAAGTGGGCCTCTGAGGCCCCACAAAGTAGTTTTAGGGTAAATAATGCATTGCTTCTAGAAGTGCATTTTCCACATTGTTGAATGTGATATTCATGATTTTTTTTTTGGAGGGGGGGGGGGGAGATATTACCTGAATCAAAGTATATTGAATTTCATCATGTTGATCCTGAGACTCATATTCAATGGTGTCGGAACACTGAGCTTTGTTGACTGAAGCTAAAGCGTCACACAGACTTTCACAGCTGTCACAGGATTTATCATGTGGATGGTCACAATGAGAAGAAAAAAAATCACTTCCATCACTTAGAGCAAACTGGCAGCAATGGTCAGGCACACTGCTCTGCTTTGTTACATGAATCTGAAAATAACAAAACACCACTTTTATGGTTGAGTTCAGTTACAAGGAGATTATGTCCAGATTATTCATCAAAGATTTATAATAAACAAAGACTATAATACGCTGTACTCTGTTTACATGTACAAATCATTATGGTATTAATTGCTGCAAAGTGTCAGAGAATGTGTTTTTGATACTAAACATATCTGAGAAATTGAACATCTTTTTTCAAATGTCACTTTGCAATGCCTTACTTTGTATTCCATTTTGAGGTACTGCTTTGCTGCTGAAAGCTTTGTTTGTGTCACTTTAGTCCACTCAGCACCCATTCCAAGTCTTCCAAGGACTGCAACACTTTTAGCACAATCTTCGAATGCCTTTGCACCATCTGCAGCAAAGTTGTCCAGTCCCCTCATGCATTTACGTATGCTTGGTTCTACTGACTGGATAATCCTCATATATGTACTTGTACTAGCACACTGCTGAAAATCTGTTTCAGCACAAAAACTGAGGTACTGCTCAACTGCTCTGCATCTGACAGTATTCAAGATCATTTTTGGTACATCAATTTTCTGACCAGAAGAGAGTTTCAAATGGACTTGGCCAAAAGGGACATCAGACATAACTGCTGGAGACATAAGGAAGTCTAGAAAGTGGCCTATTTGAATATCTGATAGGTGTTCTCTGTGACTCACTTCTTTCATCAAAGGTTGTCCATGCCCAACAATCTGTGCATGCTTCCTTGCCATTGTGTATTTGTACTTAGACAAATCGGGTATATATTTTCTAATTTCTACCAAAGAATATTGATCGGAAATAAGAGATAATATCTGTCGCTGAGTTCCCCATTCTGTGGCTAGTCTGTAACCAAGGGCAATGACTTCTAGTGTGCTGGTGTTTCTCGCCATATCGTCCTCTCTTGCATTAAGAACATCTTGGAACAGCATATTTCCTTGGCCAGGTGCTAACACATTAAGGACCTCATTGATGATTTTCTTAGATTTTATGATGTAGTCAGCCTTTGTCCTGTCAGAGGACAGCTCCCATGAAACTTGAAGTGTTTTCTTTATTGGACTCACACCACACATCTCCAGAAAATTGTCCAGAGCTAATCTTTTGTCCTCAGCTTCTTGGCTGTTTGGAAGCCACTCACTTCCCTGAGAGCTTTCATTAGACAGCATACTTTGTGATGTATTCTGTGAAAGAGTGGACAAAATTGGGTATAAGTCACAAATTTAAAATGAAAAAGTGCATTTTCACTTCTTGTAAGGTAAACATTCTCAATAAAAATGTTAGAGAGTCCATTAAACAAATATGAATGGAAATGCAAGCATTTAAAATAGGACTCTGTTCTCAACCAAGTTTGTCGTAACCAGGAAACCTACTAGTATAGTATTAATGGATTATGCAGCAAGCTTTCAAGTGCACATCATATTAGAGCTATGGGCTGGTTGTGGACATATAGTCTAGTTTAGAAGGCCAGCCAACATGTTAACCATACCAAGTCATCAGTTGTATCTGATTTAGCTTCCAATGTTTCATGAGTACGGACTTCATCAGCTACAGTCAAAAGTGGTTCTGTGGTGATAAAGTTTTCATCAATCTGAATAAGCAGAAGTAATGACCAATGTTAATCAAGGAACAAAAGAACAGGAGTTGTCTATGAACACAGTAGTATATTGTTCTATACTATATTACTGTTCAAGATAGAAAAGTATAACAGAATATATATTTTATAAGATAATAAATAAATAAATTAAATAATATGTGCATAAAGCTATTATTATTATTATATTATTGATCATATAATATAAGATAAATAAATCAAATAACATGTGCAAAAATTAAACTTACCATATCACATTTAACCAATAGATCTGATTCATCAGACACAGTGGTACAAGGAAGACCATCATCATTTTCTGCTTTTCCATTCTTAAAAGAAAACAATTAAAGAGAATCTGTAGCAGTCATATTACAATGTACAGGATCAGATTGCAACATACCTGTAGCGGTAGTGATATAATTGTTTTAGTTATGAAAATCTGTGCTAACCATAAAATAAACCACAGCGTTTCTATTTTCTATATATAAACAGACAAGTCACCTTACTAAAAAAAAGTGTCAGATTTTTACCTGTTCCTTATTGCCCCCGACTGGAGTTGATTTCATTTTTTGCAAGAGATCCTTCCGACAAGTAGAGCATATTGCTGGAAAAATATTAAAATAACACACAATTAAAATGAAAATTCAAGTGCTGTGGCAGTAAAATAGTATTAGATTAGTATAGTAGTCCACACTATATTATACAGATTATTTTAAATCAGCAGTATGCATATGAAGTAAAAACATATGTGGCAAATCAATTTGAAAAATGAAAATCATTTTTAAAAGAAGGTATATATACCTGAGCCAACAGGAACCAACAAATTCTCTGAATTTAAGAGGAATGAAGATTGGCAAAGGGTGACTGTCCTCTCAGCTAATGGCTTATTCTTTCTGCCTTTCTGCAAACAGAGCTGGCAATTCGCTGACGCTCTCCACCACAGCCCCAAATTAATTCTGTGGTTTGGACATACAGTGAAATATTCGACTGGCACATTAAATAAACCAGCTCTGGCTTTAATTAAGTCAGCTTCACTTGAAATGTCACGGATATGATGCCTCCGGCAATGAGATACAATTGGTTTACAACAGACATTAAGCGGCAAAATATAATTTGGATCAGCCTTTGAATTTGGTCCACACTGATGCAGTTGCACTTGACCTTGGAGTCCAATAGAGCAGCACCAGTTATTATCATCTATATGAAAAATAAGAATAATAACTTGCTTGATAATGACATATAGTCATTGTTTTTTTAATAAATATATTCTTTGAGTATGACATACATGTAGATTATGAATATGACATTTGTAAGTTGCAAAAGAGAATATTACAGAATATCAGGAAGATAATTCATATTCCCAAACAAAAAAAATATCAATTTCAAGTTTATATTTATGGAAACACATTTATTTAATCATTTACCTGTTTTGTTTTCCATTTTCTTTGAAGTAATTGTATGCAGACGATCTGTTTTGTTTACATTCTATCACTTCCTGTTTCACTTCAGTCCTCCTTTCTCATAAGAAATGCAACGCTTTCCGGTCTCCATGTGCAGGAGAGCAACTCCACATGGGCAAAAATGCCAACATTGCATAGATATGAACTGGTGTAACTTTTTGGTTCTTCAATTGCTACGCGATTTTATTTGAGTTTATGTTATAACTAAATGTGCACTACCTGAGGATATTAGTGGTTTTTATGGATAAATCTGCGATTTTGAAATAAGGGTTGTTTAAAATGTGCATGTTTTGACTTATAAAAATACATAAATTTGCAGGTAAATATTTAAGAAAAAAAAATTCTACACTTCTAAGGGTGGCAATCTATTTCATTCCTTATATTACAATTATAAATTTTATTTATAGGTATTAGCCCTTTTCCATTTTAGTATTATATAGTCGATAAGTCCATTTAAAGCTCTATATAGAAAAATGGCCCTGAAAATGCCCGTTGCCATGGCGACAGACATTTATTAGAAGTTTTACCTGTATTTTCTATTTTCTCATTATAAGTACTATCATATGTGTAAATATCAAGAAAATCTGTTTTTCATCACTTTCCGTGATTTCTACAGGCAAAGCTCAATGCTTGCTGACATGGCCTCTTAATCTTGTTACAATAAAATCCAATTTATCTCATATTTGGAAATGCCTTTGAACTTAATGTGATAAAGTAAGAATCATGGACTAATATCTGAAGTCTCTGGTTTTATGATGGTGAGACGTCATCTTTTGACATAAAAAATGAAGCTTACATTCTACTTACCAAGGAATATATCACATGGGAACAATTCAAACTGTCTGGGGTGCTTATTTTTTTACCTTTAGCATCTTGGCTCTGCTGTCTCTCTTCTGCAGCTGATCATCAGTAGGAAGAATCTTCCACATTTTGTAAACTGTATCATACTTCTCTTTAACACGAGGAAATCGGTTAAATATTGGGTCCTGGATAAATAACTTGAATCCAACCTGCAGACCTGTAAATATATAGTCATTAGAAATACTATCAAATATAATCAAAATTTAAAAAAATATTATTTGCTCTTTTTCACATTAAGATAAACATCAGATCTTATTTTGAGTACACATGCTCATAAATATCCACAATCTGTTTTTTTTATTATTATTATTTTTACTTATGCAACAGAATCATCATTTTCAATGTATAAAACAAGCGTGGGCAATTATAAATTTCCCAGTTGTTCTGACATTAGCATGTGTGTGTGCGTGCATTTCTGTGTGTCTGTGTTTGATCAAGTTGTTACAGCGTATGTGTATGCACATGTCCTACCTGCTATAAAGAAGAAAATTCTGCCAGGAAGAAGACAAGAGGCAATAAATAAGGCAATGAGCACCCCAAACAATCTCTGTGTCTGCTCTGGCTCCTGCCAAGTCAACAAACTGAAATAAAAAAATCCTAGCTGTTATCTGTGCTACTCTACACAGAGGCTGATGAAGTCAACAAACTAAAATAAAAAAATCCTAGCTGTTACATGTGCTACTCTACACAGAGGCTGATGAAGGATTAAAATTAAGTTTATTCCACTGGTTACTTAGAAATACCTTGAAAATTTAGTCGGTCTTGAAAATTTTGTTGGAAAATGATTCTTCACAGAAATCAATTTTTCACTTTGAAAATTTTGTTAAACTCAAAAATGGGCCTCTTGATTATTTAAAAAAGTTTGTCAGCTAGTATGGTCGTGTTGGATTAACACATTTTGATTTTTTAATTAATTTTTTTTAAAATGACAATTTTTAAATTTATATCATATACTGATGATGACATCCAGCTATGCTATATTGGACCTAAACTGACATGCATTTTTCATTCTTACCTTATGAAATTTAAGATTCAGTAAATAAAAAAGTTCTTTATGCAAATGTGTAATTAACTTAAATTAAGAAATTAAACAGTTCAATTATTCTACTAAATAATACATATGTGAGCTCTAACATGAGTGTATATTAAAACATAATCAGCCATAATTAACAGCAACCATGATATGAAAATTACAAACTTTTTCAACTTTTCCATTTGATCTGCCAGTAAACCTAAGGTATTCTGCAAGGAAAAAAAGACAAAAGTTAATGCAACACCTGACAGTTAAAGTTTAGCCTGGTAAAACTTTTGCCCAATACTTTCATATATTTTTGGAAAAAGTCTTAAAACTACTTTAACAAGTGGCTTTGTTTTTCAAAATACAGTGGACAATACCCAATTTTGAAAAAATCTAATTGACAGATTTCTATTACAGACTTACCTGTACTTTCGTAGCTACCTGTACTACAATATTGAATTTATCTGCCACACCCAATTCTTTTTCTTCAGAATCCTATTTTGAAGAAGATAAAATTCCATACTCATTAAAAAGTGCTCTTAAAATAATGATCAATATAAAACTTGTATAAATTAAAAATTGACAAAAATGTTACTTTTGGTACATGCTTCTCTACCTAACAGGTAAAATATTTAAAGAAGGGTAGTTTACCTTCAAAAATGTAAAATTCCACTTAAACATTTTAATCACTATGCTTAAATAAAATCTCCAAGTCATAACTTTATAAATATTTTTCTAAAAATTAGCTCAACTCACATCTTTGTCTTCCACTACTCTGAAGTAATGAAGTTCTATCCTAAAACCTCTGAAATTAAAAGAACACATATGGTGCATTCTTTAACAGCAACTCTATAATATCGAACCATCCTTAAATCTTAAATTAAGAAGCCATCAAGAACTGTCCAGCAATGCACTCCATTTTACTACACTTAACTAAACAAAAATTGATAAAAAAGCAGCTGGCATAAATCAGAAACAATAATTTATGAAGTATTTTGTTAAGCAAATTTTTGGACTCCCAAACACCGAGAGCATTAATTTGTAGAACTAAGAAACACCAGGTATGATGAGGGAATTTTGTTTTTACTTCAAAAACCCCTAATTTGCTCAATTACTAAAATCCTATCATTTCAAAATAAAACTATTCTATATAATAATAATAATAAATCTAGTCTTATACAGTGTAAATCATCTTGTGTGAAGATGTTAGGGCCATTCAGAATAGAGGATCTGACTACTAACTGATCCAGTGACTAAATTCTGCCAACTCCACTTCAAAAGCAATACTGCTAATTTCCTGCCTCAACACGGACTGTCACTGCAGGGGTCTGGTAATCAAACCTCGGAACTGAGATTTAATCCGTTTAATGACCCGTGCGGAGGAGGGGCATTGGAAATCAGCGGCATTGTTTTTGAAGTGTGGCTGGCCATATTTAGTCGGCGGATCAGTTAGTACTTGGATCATCTATTCTGAATGGCTTCATTGTTTCTCTCCTATGTGTAACTGCAAGAAGCAGCCAGCAGAGAGATTCTTACTTGTACTGAAGATAACTGATGAAAAGTCTGAACACCATCAGGAATAATATACCAGGTAGGATCCAGCCCATCGAAAGGAAGTATAGGTAACTCTGAAATAAATAAATAAATAAATAAATAAATAAATAATACACCAGGTAGGATCCAGCCAATTGAAAGGAAGTATAGGTAACTCTGAAATAAATAAATAAATAAATAAATAATACACCAGGTAGGATCCAGCCCATTTAAAGGAAGTATGGGTAACTCTGAAATAAATAAATAAATAAATAAATAAATAAATAAATAAATAAATAAATAAATAATACACCAGGTAGGATCCAGCCCATTGAAAGGAAGTACAGGTAACTCTGAAATAAATAAATAAATAAATAAATAAATAAATAATATTGTATAATAGTTGTACCTACCAGGAAAACTAGCAGAGTTTTAGCTGGGGACTTCCAGCTCAGGAGCAGGTTTAGACCTTTTATTGTGCTGAGGATTTCCTTGAAAGAATTACCTGAAATCAGAATAATATATGACTCTATTTTCATCCTAGGATACTGTCCAAAGTTTTTAAATAATAAATGAAGAGATCTCTGAGGACTATATAATGTATGTAATAGATTGTTAACACCATTAGTCCAACTATTTTTTTTTCACGGCTGATATACAAATTCCATCTTCCAAGATCAATGTATAAAAAATATCTCAAAAGAATGGGCAATTATAAAATCTGCTAATACAGGTGATTACTGGTAAATATGATTTGTTTTAAGCTATACTTTAAGATGGACAAAATATCTTCTTGATAAAAGTCTTCATAGTATTCTTAAATGTGTCATATACATGTAATATTGAAATTACACCTGACAGCAAATTGTTGTGTGTAAAAATGTGTTACTAATACTACTTTGAGTAATGTCTATAACTAATGGCCTGTTGTTATGAACTACACATTATTGATTATCAATGATTATAAGATTATACAGCAAAATCATTACAATTCATTATAATAAGTAATTCATACATCAAAAAAATAATAATAATAAAACTGTGTGTGAAAAATGACCAATCTGTCTTACCAAATCGCTTCACATTCTTCTTGAGCCTAAAAAGTTAACAAACAGCAAAAATGCTTAAGAACCTGGGAAGAGTTCATTGTTGACTTGTATCACATGTTTAATAATTCACAAAGGATATCAAAAAACAAACTGTGAACCAATGGCTACTTGCAACAACCACAGTCAGAGCTGATCTTAATTTAAATTGACTATTTGATTATTTGATATTTTGACCTAAACTCAGGAGTTCAGAATAGCACTTCCTACTTTTTCACAGCCAGTGGCTCCTCTTCTATCTCCTGGTCATTGGTTTCTTCCTCTCTAAAATCATCCAAGATGTCGTAGAATGTCCAGAATAGTCGAGTTTTTATCCTGCCAAACCAACCCTCAGCCTCTGGGACTGTGTCTGAAGGGAGAGGAGTGTTTTTTAGTAATTAATAATATAATTTCCTTAAGTCTGACAATTCATAATCTCATACTTTGCTGGCTGTGAATTCACACTGCCATTTGAAATTATAACTTAAGATATAATTACAAGATTAAGAGGCACAACCTGAGTCCTAATGATCAAATAAGTACCGGTAAGTGAATATAATTAACAGAAATTACAAAGTTGAAAACTTTACTTTTAATATTTTTCAAACTAAGCTTCCTAAATGAGTATTTCCCAAATTGAGAAGATTCCTGTAAAATAAGGATCCAATAGTTGCCTATACTTCCTACATCACAGTGTTAAACTCATTGAATAAAACTGATATAATACATAAAGTTATTCTTGCTATGAAGTGTGTTTTTTACCTTCAGGAACTTGTGCAAATGTCTCAGTTGCCTCTTCTGACAAATCAACCCACTGTGACTTGAGTTCAGCATCTCTGACATGTCAAATAATAAATAGAGCGCATTCAGAAAAGATGATCCCTGGACCAACTGGTCTGATCACATTGGTTGGGTATGTTAATTCTTAGAAGACAATGTCCAAATATTCAGATAAGGCCCTCATATATTTTCATGTACCAAAAAGACAAATGCCTATGACTTACTTTAATATCAAAATCTTTGAAAGAATTACTCATGTTAACCCTATTAAATCTTAACATTATAAGATTATAATGTGCACTGGTTCATAAATCAACATGTTTGTTGTTGACGTTCTAAAAGTTCACTGATAAAAACAAGGCCTGTATATTGGGGAAAATCAAAATGTATTCTGGGAGTTTTCTTGGCCCTCCCCATCAAAATGGATCAAGCCGTTACATCTGTACATTTCCTTAGGTTATCTGTACATCACTGAAAATAGCTACGTACTGTTTTCTGAGGACAATAACAACTAAACACCCCTTGAGAGTAACTATTAAATGCTTATTTAATACACCACATGTTAGAGAAGCATTTCGTCAATTTTGTAATATTTGGCCCTAATGATGAAAACTACTATAACTGCTGCACCACCATTTCCATTTGCCTCATAGTATCTTTACTATTGCATCCCCCAAAAATATGTTTTGATCAGTATGTTAAAAAGGATATATTCCAATCTTAGACTAGAATTTTTTATTAACGGTAATATTAAGCAATTATTAATGTTACGGTAAATAATCTATTATAATTATGGACTAAGCAGAATAGGCAACTATGATGGCTGTGATACCAACATTACATTCAAGCAATACAAAATATTGTCACCAAGAACAAAAAATCCCCACAATTCTTACCTCATCCTCTGTAACACTTCTAATTTCCTTGCAAGGTATTTGTTTTTCCCTGTCTGTATTTCCAAGTTCTTCTCCAGTTTCTTTACCTTATCAGCATCTTTCATTAACTCCAATTCTCTCTCTGGAAAGGTATAAACGTCTGTTCACAGTCTGTGGGAAGTTTTACTAAAATCATCCATATTCTCTCATTGATTCAGGAAATTTCCCTTTATACAAATTTGAAAAGGTATTCTTCAAATAAAATTGGGCAGTTTTCAAACAAAATTCAGCACCTATCATTTTCAGTAGTTACAATTATTGTAATTTTTTGTTTCAAAGTGTTTTCATTACAATGCACTAGTGGGTCTGAGATGCTCTGGGATTAGAATTTTGCTGGGAAATGGAGGGGCTCAAAGCTAAAAACATGTCAACTGAAGCTAGGCAAATATAAAGGCAGATGGAGAAAAGTTTACTGCCATTGATCTATAAGTAGGACAAAATGATGGCAAAGTCACTCAGTTTCATCTTGGTTCACTCATCCTTTTTAAGATGGGGGGAAAAGGTCCCATGAAAATTAAGGGGAATATGTCGAAGTGCAGGAAATTTGCTGCAAACAAGTTTGTGGCAAGGAAATTACAGGAGCTTGCAACAAAATAAAAAAAAATGTATTGCTGCTAATTATAATTTGTTGCCAATTTTACTAAGGATCCAACACTGAAACTTTAATTTTAATTATCAAAAAAAAAAAAAAAAAAAAAAAAAAAAAAATCTCAGACTGACTCAGGTTCTGGTTCTCTATCATGGTTTCCACAAGCTGCTCCTGAAGTTGTGTCAATTGTGACTCATAGATGGCGACACTGTCATCAGGGACTGAAGCTGTTTTTGTGCTCTCGTCCATCTTCTTGGATTTGTGGTCTGAGTCGCTGGTTTCTTCTGTTACTGAGGCCATGCATTCTGTTGGTTCCTGCTGAAAATAATGTTACATGTGCATAAAAGTTTATTAACAGTTTTATTTTTCACTTTAAATTACCAAGATTCACTAGTGGAAATTCATCAAATGTTGTAACTTTTCTGTGAACAACTTCAAAACAAATTTATGATTACAAAATTGACTACAGTCTAGTTAAGGATTATGAATGCATGGTCACTGAATGACTTAAAATATTACGAATATATAACATAAAGATCATTTTTACATACAAACACACCAGCATGTCAACATTTTTCTAAAGTTACCTCATCATCATCAAAACTGCAGGTCATTTTGGCCTCCTCTTCTTTTTCCAGAGAACGAAACCCTTTCACCACCACATCACTATCACCTTTACTGTCCAGAAATCGAGACTTGAATGCATGTCGTAGACTCATCCTGTAAGACCTCCTCTTTTGAAGACAGCTATTCCTGTTCAATCTTGTCTTAGGCTGCAGGCAATATAAACCTCACAGTGCTGTATTTTAATACCTGTGATTATATGTCCCCTCTACTTACATGTAAACCTGAATTATAACAATACATGTATATCAAACAACTGACAGTTAATGTTCTTCCTCCATTGGGTGAATTACAGTGTACACTGTACATGTACATGTACATACATGTATGAGGCATGCAGTAAAATATCTAACAGTGAAAAGGTAGTAATATATAAGCAAAACGCATAAATAATTAAATAACACGATTACACAATCTTAATCACAAATAATTCTGATGTCAAGTCAATGCAGACTTTTAAGTACTTAAAAATAACGTTATACTAAGAGGTGGTGGTGGTGGGGGGGGGAGGGGAGGATAAACACAAAGCCATGCAGTCCGACTTTATCGACACCTTGACCTAAGAAAAAAGGTTGAGCATGAAGGTTTACACTCTCATTCAGGACCCTCATCCTTTAATACACATTTTATCGTCATTAAAACGGACAAGCGTTTTATCTTCAGATTTCACAATATTATCCGCCCACTCACTGATTCTTACCCAGTACTGTTTGACCTGCCAAAGCAAGCTACCGCAGATATATATATCCACCGGCGTAACACTGTAAAATTCAAACAAGATTTTTCGCTGTAAAATGTATTTCCAATCCCTTAAGGGAATTCGTTGTCAATTAACCATGAAATCCCCCCTTGCCTTCATCAATCGCATGTTTCGGTCGTCATCACTTTGTTTTGGTTCATGGCTTTGGAGACAGTCGATAGATGGCGCAAAATAACAAGCGGTGCCTTTTGCGCAGTTGAATTTCTATGTAGTTTTTATTTGTAACACAATTTACTGTAAAAGTATGTAGGTCGATTAAAATCTTGTATATTTTGTTAATATGAACATTAACACATATTGTTAACTTAAAATCCGGTAACTACATCAATAAAGAGTATCGATTTTGTCTCATCTGGGATTTTTACATGCATTATCTACACTCGAAATTAAGTTTGATGTATGACAGGTATGGCATGAGATGTGTTGCAATATTTTTCATTAAATTTAAAGTTTTGTTATTCAATGTTTCAAATTTTTATGCAATATTCCTTTTTTTTCATTCAATGTTGTTTCATTTTTATGCACAATTTTTTTTTCATTCAAAGTTGTTTCGGTTTCCCACACAGTTATTTTTTTCATTCAATGTTATTTTCTTTTTTCATGCAATAAATTTTTATTTAAATTCAATGTTGTCTCATTTTTTTATGCAATATATTTTTATTCCATGTTGTTTCAAATTTCATGCAATATTCTTTTTTTCATTCAATGTTGTTTCATTTTTTTATGCAATCATTTTTTTCATTCAATGTTGTTTCGTTTTGATACAGTATATGTTTACTACCGATAGATTGTACATCATTCCTTGCATGCCAGTAACAGAATATTCAGAGTACATTGTCTATCTAGCGCCAACTTCCACTATGACACTACTTCACGCCTTATCACTTTTACCATCTCGCCCCCCCC